GGGAGGTAAAGTTTATCTGGGGCTCACAGTTTCAGAGGACTTCGTCCATAGACGGCTGACGGTTACTCTGGGCCAACATGGGAAACAGAACACTATGGCAGAGGTGTAAAGGAAGAAAACAGCTCAGGACAAGGCCACCAGGAGGCAGAGAGGGCTTATCTCAGGGAGGATAAAATATAAGGCCCCCGTGACCCACGTCCTCCAGCCACACCATATACTTGCCTACAGTTACCACCCAGTTAATCCATTCAAGTGGATTAACACTCTGATTAGATTAAGGCTCTCACAGCCCAATTGTTTGACCTCTGAACATTCTTGTCTCATACATGAGCTTTTGGGGACACTTCACAGCTAATCATAACAACAACTTTTCTAGATTCTGCATATGAACGAGAGCATGCAGCGCTTGTCTTTCTGTGCCTGGCTGATTTCACATAACATAATGGTTTGTCTTCGTTGCCAAGAATGGCAGATTTCCTTCTTTTTATGGCTGCATAGTATCCCATTGTGTTTATGTGCCTCATTTTCATTATTCACTCATCAGTTGATGGACATTTAGGTTGTTTCTGTGTCTTGGCTGTTGTAAACACTGCTTCAATGAACATGGAACCCAGATGTCTCTTCAACATACTGATTTCATTTCCTTTGGATCTTTATAGATCCAGGAGTGAGACTTCTGGATTACATGGTAGTTCCATTTCCAACTTTTTAAGAAACCTCTACACTGTTTTCCATGATGGCTTTACTAATTTACATTCTCACCAACAGTGCATAAGAGTTCTCCTTTCTCCACATCCCTGTCAGCATTTGTTATTTTTTGTCTTTTTAGTGAGAAGGATAAAGCAATAGCTCATTGTGGTTTGGATTTGCATTTCCCTGATTATTAATGATGTTGAGCATTATTTTTTTTTCATATATCTGTTGGCCATTTGAACATCTTCTTTTGAGAAATGTCTATTCAGGGTTTTGCCCGTGGTTTTAGTTCAGAACTCATTTTTCCTTCCTTTTTTAAAATGTATATTCTGAATATTAACCCTTTGTCAGATGCATTGTTTGGAAAATTTTTCTCCAGTTCTATATCTTGTATCTTCACTGTATTGATTGATTTCTTTGCTGTACAGGAAATTTCAGTTGGTGTCCTTATATGGAGTAGGGGTCTGGGAGTGTCCAGACACAGGGAAAGAGAGACTATCATGTGAAGACAAAGAGATAGAGATGATGCATTTACAAGCCAGGAAAGGTCAAAGATGTTCAGGAAGTCCCCAGAAGCTAGGGGAGAGAGAAACCTGGAACAGATTCCTCTTCAAAGCCCTCAGAAGAAACCAACTCTGCTGACACCTTGGTCTCAGAATTGCAGCCTGCATAACAGGGAGGCAATAAGTTTCTATTGTTGAAGCCACTTGGTTTTTGGTACTGTAGTACAGCAGCCCTAGCAAAGTAATACACCTCCAGAGATGGTTCTTCTTGATGATATCCAGGAGGACATCTCTATCTAGACAGAAGGGGGCACTGCGGCCCCACAGAAAGGGTGGGAGACACTTGAAACTCAGAAGGCTTCTCCACAGACCACCTGTTCAGCAAGGCTGTCCACCCTCTTCTGTCCTGAAAGAACAATTTGCCATTGACAGTATCCCCTACTCAAGGGCCCTAAATTCTTAGAAGCTTCACTTATTGTCCATAACTTTGTGTGTTTGGGTGCTTCTTTGAGATTTTCCATATTGTCCTTGTTTTGTTTTCCCAACTTGATTGCAAACTGTTTGAGGACTGGGCCATGTTACAAACCTAACCAAGAGTTGGGTGATCTCTCTGTTAAAAATTCTGAGTGAGCCTTCGGACATGTCACCTCTCCTTTCTGGGCCTAGTCTTTGACTACATAAAAGGATTGTACTCTCTAAGCTCCCTCAGTTACAATATTCTGTGATTCTGACTCCATGCCTGTTTGCTGTTTAACCAACTTTCCTACTTAGTGTGCAAAAGGGAAGGAGAGGCCTAACTCATCTCTTAGATATGCTGAACAACTGACCATCTGGGGTACAAGTAATTGAATAAAGGAAGTACGTTCCAAAGGCTTGAGAGCCAATATGGTACTCCAGGAGCTCCAAGCTCCTTCCTAGGGTCCAAAGCTCTGGTCTTGGCGTCTACTGAAGCTTTCTCCTCTTCTGATTAAGGCACATGGATGTCTCTAACTTCTACTTTGGGTGTGCTCATGGCAGCGAGGCCTATGTGTACCTTTTAGAAGCCTCCTGACTCTGCTTTAGGAATTGGAGCAACGGTCTTTCCAAATGGACATAATATTTTGAGTGAACCACTTTTTTTTCTTGGAGAAACCTCAGCATGGCTCAGCCTTCATTTGGACCTAGTCAAAGAATATTTAAGGGTTCTCCAAATGCCAACACTCCAGAGGCCTGGGCTCCAGTTAAAATTATGCTCTTTGGATTACAGAAAATAGGGGCTCACACAGACCAGTACAGTAACAGGAATGAGAGGGCATGGAAGCTAGGGTCTCAATATAAAATAGTTGTAAAAGAGGTGAAATCTCCTAGGAAGATAAGACCAGAAACCCCAAACAATGACAAGCTGATACTAGAGGGTCACCTCAGTTCTAGGGACATACTCTAAGTACTCCTCTGTTAATATCACCCAGCTACTCCCCAGGGGTCAGCGCCTCTCTCTGCTTCTCTTCCTATTCCTCTTAAGTGTTTTCCAAAGAATGCCTCTGGTAGAACATGAGACAATTTTTACTAATTACTAATCTAAGTGATGCAAAGAAGGAAATAGAAAACCAGATTCTAGAGAAAACAACTCATTTCTCCCAAGCAGCCTAAGGCCTCATGATTGAACTTCACTGGCAGAAGTTCTACTGACAGCTAGTTGTGCGAACTCAGGCTAACTGGACACTTTTTGTTGTGTAACCTTAGACAAGTCACTACTTCCATTTCCTCTTTTCCAAAATAGAATATTTGCTTTCACTTTTTCTTTAGGTTGAGGTATGGAGCCTATTCCACTCTCAATCCAGTCGCTGGACAGCAGTACACAAGTCTCTTTGCCTTTTGTGACTCAGTCCCTTCTCGGATCAGAGGAGACATTTAACTAGAGGATTCTTTCCATCCTACTTCTTCCAATTCCTAAATAGCTCTGCCTAAATCTAACCACCCACCTCTTTGGGTCCTTCCTCAACGTACTCCTCCTTCCGATGTCCTCAAAATCCTTTCTTCTAAAATCCCCACGAAGCAGAGAAGAACATCCTGGGGACTTAATTTATGAAGTTTTGTGAAAACTTGCATTCATGCCATGATTTTGTAATAAAATTCTATGTTCCCTTTGTCCTGGCTTATCTGTTGAGAGATTTCTTTTTATTTACTATTGATCATCAGTTGGCTCCAGTCACTTAACCTTTGATCATCCCTTTTATTGGGACACCACCCAGCCTCTGCCCTGGCCCCTCATTCTCCTATTAAATAGTAATGCTACATAAACAGACTTGGAGATGAGCTCGTGGAGCAAGGGGACCCTGGGGCCAGTCTCCCTTAGGCCTGTGAATTGTCATTCCTGAAGCCGTCTGTTTTCTAAGTTCTTCTGCCAAGTTTCTATGGGAGCAGAGGGATCATTTTCTCCCTTTTCAAAGAGCAGGGTGAGTTGAGGCCTCCAGCTGGCAAGTCCTTTAAAGTAATTTTCAAAGGAAACCTGAGCTGAAAGGCCATGTGGTTGGCAGAGGGTGGTGTGACTTTCTGAAGCTCTCTCTGGGGCTTTGGGTGGTCAGCTCCCCTAGGCATCCCAGCACGTGTTTGGAGCCTTCTGCAGAGTCACTGCCAAGGGACACCACTGTCCAATCAGGGGGCCCATGGGCCCAGGGAAAGGCTCTGGCTCATATCCCCTCCCTATCACCACCCAGGAACAGGAAAAGGGGGGTGCGGATTTTCTCCTCTGGGCCATTTACCAGAACCACACTTGTCCTCCCTGTTCTCAGGTCCTGTCAATCAAATTTGATCCTCAGGGTCTTTTGAGGTAAAAATAAAACAGTGCCAAAGCATACTAGGTTGAACTTGGGCATGAGTCATGGAAGCTTAAATGGTCTAGTTAAACCAACCCCTCATTGGACAGGGTGGGAAGGAGACCCAAAGGGAAAGTGGTTGTCCCAAGTCACACAGGAGGTAGCTGTGTTCCCTCACAGGGCTCTTGGGACAAAGACTACCTCTGCAGGGAGCGAGGTCTGCTTGGCTACTTACTATTCATGAGTCTTCTGGGTCCACAGATGACTATCAATCACCCAGGAGACACCAAAAAGCCTTCAAATGCACTGAAGGTGAAAAATTTATGAGTGAGGGCGGAAGCCTAGGACCTGTCCCATTTAGCCACATGGACAGAAATTGTTTATGAAGCCAAAAGGCAAGATGAGTCTTCACGCTTTACAGAATGGGCAATCCAAGGTCCAGAGGACGAAGATGTTTGTATTAGAAGAGTGAGAACTGAAGTCATTAGAAAGCTCAGCCTAGAGCTTTCCCCCACTTGAACCAGGTGTAGTCATGCATGACTATAATCCCAGTTTACTCAGGAGGCTGAGGAAGAAGCATTGCTCGCTTGAGGCCAGCCTCAACAACTTAGACAAAAGGACTCAAGATAAAAGGACTGGAGATGTAGCTCAGTGGGAAAGCACTTCCAAAGTTCAACTCCATAAATCCATCAACAATCAATCAACCAATTAATTAAGGTCTGAGGCTGTAGTACAGTGGTAGAGAGCACCTGGGTTCAAATACCAATACTGCATACAAAAGAAAAAAAAAACACCTATGTCTTCATGGCCAGGGGCTAGGACCAATGAGGGTCCTTGCCAACCTCCCAAGAACAAGCTCCAACCTCCTCTTAAATGAGACTCCCTTCCAAGGCTACACAGGCCAGCAGCCCTCCACCTCAGAGAACATTTCCCACTAGAATAAGAGCTAACTAAGCCAGATCTATCCAAATCCCCATTTCAAGATAAGGAAAAACCTTCAGAACAAGACGACTTTTCAACATTTTATTCTTATATTTGTACAGCTATATTTTACAACGCGATAATGCAGTTTAGACACAGCCAAACCCTGTCTCCGGAGTAGTTACAACACAAGCATGACGCAGAATGGGATGAGACAAACATTCCCAAAGAGAGTTTAGTTAGTGACAACTTCAAGTCCCTGTGTCTGCCTACACTTCAAAAAGGGATGGCGCACACTCGTCCATCACTGAAAACGTCTGAAAAAAGGCACCGTGAGGACACGTTGTACAGGTATATACAGACTGAAAACTAGAACAAAGTTACACATTTTTTCCTTCTGCAGCTTTTTTTGTTCTTTTTTTTTTTAATACACACTTTGTAAATTGTAAACCTTCACTTGCAAAAAAATACAAATACACTGAGGCATTTTAGACAAAATATTTTCTTACTTATACAGATGCAATACTTAAAATATTCTCTTAGGTGCTCTTTCTCAATAAAGATTCTCAGATCCGTGTCTGCCTGCAGATACAAAATCGAGCCTTTAACGCAGTTTTATATTTTTAATATATCTTTTTTAAGTTTATATATATTTATATTATATATATATATATATATTTATATATTTACAACTCTGCCATATATTCCTTCACCTTTGGTTAAAAAAATTAAAGCCCTCTCTTTGATAACATACCGAAGTCTTGTCTTTTAAAAGAATGCACATTTACATACAAAAGAAACATCTGTTCCCACAAAACATATACATTCCTCATTTTGCAGACTGTCAAGTCAGAACTTTTGCGTACTCCCCCACTTTGATACATAAAATGATTTTGCTTTTTGCTGACGTGGTTCGCCGTACACATAGGAGAAGCAATATTATTTTCTTAATGTTTTATGGCAGCAGGGGGGGCCAGGAGCTGCCATGGCTCCTACCCCCCCCAGGCCCCGTCCCCACCCCCACCCCCAGCTATGATTTGCACTAGTGGATGAAAGAGGCACTACATCATGGGATGAACATCATAAAGTGTTACAGTATCCTTTGGGTAGACTCTGAGAAGGGGCTGGAGAGGAAAGCATCAACACTCCATGCTTCAGCAGGCTTTGGGGAGCTCCGGAGGCAGGTCAGTGGCTGACACGCGGTACTGCACCTTGGTGTTGGTGATGGCGCCATGCTTCTGGCGCAAGTGAAGTCGCAGCTGGCTTTTGTGACGAAAATGCAGGTTGCACTTCTCGCACTGGAGGGAGGGCAGAAGCAAACTGTTAGCTGACATCTATCTAAGCAACACATCATTGCACAAAGACCCAGACCAGGAGATTCTCCCTGCAGAGAACTGGGACAGCTCATTCCTCTGAAAGACCAGGTAAAGAACCCATATGAATCTTGACTTCCACCAGAGGTAAGTAAGCATTGCACAAATGTCCCTTCCCTGCTTGCCAAAGTGTCACTCACTTGTGCCCTTCCCTTGCTTGAGAAATTCTTCCCTAAGTCCATAAATGTAATTCTTATCCAAAAACACTGTTCACATGCAAACTCCCCTAATTATTAAGGCATTTCTGAATCTCTCTAGGATAAAAGAAAATCTCTTTCTTTTTCATAGCCTTGCCACAAAGTCACCCCGTGCATTAATATCCTCAGGAAGATAACACTATGAAAGGAAAGTGACCACTTCTTACTAAACTTGATAATTCTCTTAGCACCTAGCAGAACACACCTCTTAGGCAAATTATACAACAAATATAAACACTTTTAGACAACCTGACTAGCTCAGTCTGAATGCATGGAAATTCTTGAGTCTAGGATATGCTTTTTAAAAATGCAGCTGTCTTCCTTCCTAGGGTATATGCCATGGAAAGCTAGCAAAGCATTAGCAAGTAGAGCTGTTTTTCACTTTGGTTCAGTAAATGGGTGATGATGTTTTAGTGAGGAAAGTTCCCTGAAAGAAAAGTTGATGACAAAATTTAATGGATCCTGGAACAAAAAAAAAGGGCATTTTTAGGTTTGGGGTTTTTTTTTATATAAAGCAAATCCACATAGTATGGACTTTAGTTTATAATTATATAACAGTATTGATTCATTAGTTGTGACAAATATATCCAAAAAAATAAGATGTTAACAATAAAGGAAACCGAGTACACATAAGAACCTTCTGTGTAATCCTTGGAAAATTTTATATATCTAAAACAATTTTAAAATAAAGAGTGTTATAAAATATGTTTACAGAGACTTTTTTTAAGGTAAAAATGGAAATAGAATTAAGAAAATAATAAAGTGGGCAAGACAGTGAGTAAGGAACTCTGGTTTTAGGAGACATAGGTCTACTGTGCCTATGCCACCCACTACTATGTGGCCCAAGCAGGTCATTTCTCTTTCTGGGTCTTGTCTCTCCCTCTGAAAGATTCTGGATCGATAAATAATGAAGGTCATTCTCAACTCTGATATCTTCTGCATGCAAAATTCTAATAAATACTCTCACTATGTGAGCAAGCCACCCTGAACACTTCAATGCATTAGTTAACCTAATATTACTCCTCTTTGAGGTTAGTACTATTTTCAGTCACATTTTACAGATGAAGAAATTAAGGCACTAAGAGGATAACTAACTTCTTCTTACTATTTAACTAGTAAGGAGATATCCAAAGTCTTAGAAGCAAATGAACAATAAATACCACATTTTGCAGGAAAACACCTGAGATGTGAGTGGATCATTCACTGATTGGTTCTCACCACCAAGTGTGATGCCATCAACTCATGAAACCAGCCAGACAGTATGCAAACAAATTAGTGTGGCTGTGTTCCAAGACCACTGTATGTTCCCTGCAACTTCAATTGAATATTATTTGCAATGTTGCACAATATTAATCTTTTTTATAAAGTAAAAACCACTTTTAGCTCATGGCATATTCAAAAATTAGCTTACAGGCTAATAGCTTACAGGCTGCAGTTTGCCAAGACCCTGCTCCAGGACACAATTCCTATGGCCTCTTCATAGCATTGTGCCACAGAGCCAGCCACCTCCTCTTTATTCACATGGTCTTTTCTCTGCTTCAATTTGTCTTGTTTTTCCCCTTATACCATCATATTTTTCTGGTCCTCTTCCTACTTCTAAGACTGCACCTTTTCAAATACCTTAACTACTCTTAAATGTACATTTAGCCTAGTAAAGAGGTATGCTATAGGTGCTCAGTATTTGTGGAATGACCTCAAAATCTCTGTATTCATAATCTGGACTTCTTGAAGCTCAGATCACACAATCCAGTACCTCTACTCTAAAGAGGAACACGTTGAGACCAGGTGAAGTCAAGTAGGGTGTCTTTGACAATCAGGCCCAGACCCAGGTCTCGAAATCACTAGTTCAATGGTCACTCATTGTGTACTTGAGATTGGAGCACAGCTTTCCGCTGCCCCTCACCCCCCCTCCCAGGCCAGCCGGTGGGCACCAGGGGCTTCCGTACATGGTAAGGTTTCTCTCCCGTGTGGATGCGCAGGTGGCTCTTCAGAGTCTGAAGGTGCCGGAAACGGGTGCCACAGATTTCGCAAGGATAGGGCTTCTCGCCAGTGTGGATGAGCACGTGGGCACGGAGGTGGGCGACCTGAAAGAGGAGCACAGCATGAGAAGCTCTGCTGGGGTGGGCTTTAGGGCCCCAGGGTCCTTTCTCCACACCACCCTGCTCACCTGAACAAATCTAGCTCCACAGGTTTCGCATTTGTAGGGCTTCTCTCCAGAGTGAATTCGAGTATGGGTCTTCAGATTGGCTGGCCGGTTGAACTGGGCCCCACAGATGTTACAACGATAGGGTTTCTCGCCTATTTCCAAGAGAAAGAGAAAAAGAAAAGCCATAATCAATAAAGAAGTTCTGCATTGCTCCCAGGTTTGCATGCAAACTGCCCCTATCTGAGTCCAGTTGAGTTTTTCTTTCTTTTGGGGATGTCAGAGAATCCAGGGGCCTGGTTCCTGGCCTGCCACCCTCTCTCACACACATACCAGTACACCTTGCATGAGGCCAGGGCCCAGAGACAAGCAATGACGTGGTGGATGGAAAGGAGGCTCTATTTGGGACAGCATGGGGAGGTTCCAGGAAGCCTGGGCTTCAGAACCAGTGTTGCCATTAGAATCATCTACCTGAAGGACTTGGGTAAGACACTGTCCTTCTCTGGGCCTCAGTTTCCCTCCCTGAACCTGCAGGGCTAATTGAGATGACCTGAGGAGGCTCTTCTGGCTCTTCCCTTGGATGAAACTGATGTGGTAATGCACTTACTCCCATGGAGATACTATCAGGCTGCTCTAGTTTCTCTCTTTCAGAACAAACATTTTTCTGCTCCTAGAAACTTCAGCTATACTCCAATAGCAAGAAGGGTGGGGTCTGGTTTGAGCAGAGGCTCAAATAAAAGAGACCAATTGAAGAGGCTTCCTTCATGGTGAGTGTCGAACATACTAGGGCCACTTGTAAGTAAACTGTGGACAACAATTCAGTTGTATGAAGTTACCTGATCAAGGACCGTGAGATGATAAGGAATAAGTCCATGGAGGACATTAAGAGGCCTTCCATTTTTTTCCTGGCTTTACAAAAACCCAATTCAATATGCCTCTGTCAGCCTTAGTTTCTTTACCAGTACAGTAGGATGAACACTGCTGATCCCCAGCAAGGGCAGAGAATCAGGAAAGAGTCTCAAAGGAAAGACAAAGGGTACAGGGAGTGGGCGCATCCCCCAGGGAAAATGGACTTGACAGGGGAGAGCCCTTGCTCAGACACGGTGGGGCCTCCCCATTGCTCCACCCACTAAGTCCTTCCCCTAGGAATCCTGGAGCACTCCGTGAGGAGGGGCAGGGCCATACCCGTGTGGACGGTCTTGTGGCTGGCGAGGTTGCCCTTGTAGCGGAAGGAGGCCTGGCAGCGGTCACACTTGTAGGGTTTGTCACTGTGGGTCTGCAGCGTGTGCCTCTTGAGCGAGGCCTCCTCAGAGAAGCGGCAGTCACACTCATTGCAGAAGAAGGCCCCGTTCTCTGTCAGAGGCGGGAGGGACACCACATCAGCTCGAGGAAGGGAAATGGGCTCTACGCCTCCCTCCTCTGGGGCCACCCAGTGCCAAACTGAACCCCAGTCCACCTGCCAACACTCACGGGAGCCCAGAGTAAAGGACCTATGGGATTTTATTTGAGGGCGCATTAAGAGTCTCAGGCATGGAGGAGAGAAAGGAGACAGACTGAATCTTAAATCAGTCGGTACTCATAGGGCCTAATCCAGTTGGAGGAAGCCTGGGCAAAGCTTTTCCTTCTCCCAAGTGAACTTGCTTTTCTTATCAGGTCACAGTTTTATTTACATTCACACACAGAAGCCCTGGGGCAAGACCCTTCACCTCTCAGAGCCTCTCTCTGTGTCTCTATCTCCAAAGTCAGGATAATAAATCCCTGTTCTGTCTGCTTCACATAAGTGTATTATATAACACAAAATAAACACAAAGCATTGCAGGGATATGAGATGTAGGTCAAATTCAATTTTACTTTGAGATTACTGAAGGAGGAATCAATGATGTAGACTTCATGGTCATCTGGCACCTATCTGAATTCCATGTCTCCAAGATACTTCTGTGAGATTGGGAGACCAAAGGTAACTATGGAAGTGGAAACAGAGGCCCAGAGAGAAGGAGTAGGAGTGCAGAGCAAGGCAAACAGCCAGGGGACGGGAGGGGATAGTCTTTGTTCTCCCTTTGACTAAAGATCTGTGATCCTGTGCCAAACTTGTCAGTGTAAGAAACTGATTTTTTTTGTCTTTTGTTACAACGACTTGAAAATGGCATGTCATGGTGATTTAACCCTGATTAGGTGTTATTGAGCCATAATAGAGTAGCCAGATCTGGGTGTAGAGTTAGACCTTTATATCTAGTAAAAACTGGGGATGCCAATTGTAGACTACCCAGAAATGTGAATTTAATAATTCACTTCAATCAACTTAATTCAACTACATTTACTGATAGCTCCTCCATGCTGGGGGCCTGCTAAAACCTAAAGAGTATGCAGGAATGAATACCATCAGATACTTCTCAGAATCTGCACCATGTCAGGGGGAGCCAGGGCAACACAGTGGTTTAGGCATAGAGAAAGATCTGGAAATTATAGCCAGCCCTGAAAGCTACACTTGCAGGAATGAGGCCAAAAAGATGGCTTGCTTAGGCTCTATTACCCCATATTAACTCTGATACCCCATTCCTTGCTTCAGCCAGCCCAGTTCCCTGAAAGGTAAAGAATGGGTTGATCTGCTGGTGATTTTATGCCAATGGATTTCTAATCAGGAACTGCTCCCAATCAGAGAGAATAGTACAAATAAAATGGAAACACAAAGCCCATGGGGGGAGGGAGGGAAGGGAACTCACCACAGCTGGAATCCGAGTACTCGGACTGGGTCTCTCCAGTCTCCTCCGGGAACGAAGGCCCACTAGTGTGCAGGCACATCTCTGCATGCTGCGGGGACTGAGAGCCACAGGATGTGCACTTGGGGGGGTGCATGTAGAGTGGCGAGTGGCTCTCACTGCTGCTACGGGGTGAACCTGTCAGAGACCTGTGGGCAGAATAAAGACAGCCTCAGCACCAGTGGCAGGATAGAACCTTCTGCTTGGCCTCAATGCCATCTTCACTCTGTGCTTAGGCAAACACAGAGAAGAGCTGTCCTATGCTGGCTCTGGGGCCTCAGAGTCCTCCTCAAGTCTGCCTCCAACAGCAACTACAGGAGAGCACAGGCCAGGGTCAAACCAAGCCCAAACCCCACTCCTGGCCCAGTTTCTTCCTCTCGGTACTACAGCCCACAGACTCTCTCAATCTATGGGAAATGTGAGGGTCCCTGCCACATCAAGACCATCGGAAGTACCTGTAGAATTTGTGGGGTGTTCTTCTATAGGAGGGCATGTTCTCTCTCACTAATTCTGCACTTCTAAGCATTTCAGGCAAAAAAAAAAAACAAAACAAAAAAAAACCCAAAACCCCCAAAACATGGTTCCTGTATCCACCAGAAGAAATGACCCCAGAACCTGTTCAGGTAATCCCTGATCTCAGACCCAGACCGCCTCTGAAATCACCTGTTGACAATGTTATTGAGCCGGCTGGCTTGTGGGATGGTGGAGTCCTCCCCACTGGCACTGAGCTTGGTTGGAGACTGGAGGTCAAGGTTCTCAGGCTCCATGGGTGGCTGGCAGGCAGAGGGGGCAGTGTAGGCTCGTGGGGAGAGGCGGCCCAGCTCAGCCTGCTCAGGCCCCTCAGGCTTGGTATTCTGGTTGAGGCTGTTGAGCACGATGAACTTGTACTTCTTCCAGTTGCAGGCTTTGGGGTCAGTGGGGCTCTTGGCTGGAGGGGAGCCAGAGGCCTGAAGGATGCAGGCATTCTTGCTACTGCAGGACTCCGTGGGGGAGTTGGGCTGGCAGTCGGATTTCTGAGGGCTTTGTGGACTCACCAGACCCTTCCGGTTCAGGGGTGCGTTAGGGGGCTCGAAATGCAGGGCAATCTCATCCTCCGAAGAGGGTCTTTCCTCTTCTTTGCTGGCCTTGTCACAGGGGAAGTATGGGGCATTCCGGGCTGAGGGGGCAGCAGGCTTGGGGCCCTCAGCCACACTGTAGTGCATGTCACCTCGTGCCTCTTCTGGGACAGCCTCCTTGGGTGAGTAGATGTTGCTGTGGCACATACTGGGGGACACCTCCATGGCATGCCGGGTGTACTCACTGGGCACTGGCCTGGCACTATCGCAGGGGAGGCCCCGCTCCTTGGGAAAAGGATTGGCCATAGGCATCCGGGAATCTCGTAGCTCCTCATCAGAGAAGAGGAAGCTGCTGACCGGGAGGTGGCTATACATGGGATAAGAGGCTGGTGGTGTGGATAGGCCACTGTAAAGGCTGGGGGCAAAGGCTCTGCTTTCACATCCAGGGGTATTCCTTAGCGGTAGGTTGTTCTCTACCACCTCACGACCCCGATAGGCCATGATGTCTTGGGGCATCAACATCCGGCTGTTCAAGAACTCTTCACGAGGAGGCTTGATGGGAGGAACCATCTCTGCTTCACTGGGGGAGAAAAAAGAGAAAAGACACCTTCCAGTGATACTGTTATATAACCCGTCTGTGCTTGAATAGGCTAGACATAGGGGAGGTAACTTTGGAGTAAGGAAACACAGTAACAAGGCAGTTACAACAGAAGTCCAGTAATACAGGCTACAGTTGGGGAAACTAAGGCACAAAGAAGGGAGGTGAGTTACCCACATTCTGTGCCTGGTAAGACTTAAACCTGTAAATTTAAGACACATATGTAAGGATGTCTATGAATCTATAACTCTTCTGACATAGAATTTATGGCTTATAGGAAGCTTTCAAAACCCTTTTCTTGTTTTTACCCAGGTAAAAGCCTGCAAGGAAGTAAAGGCAGGGATTTTACACACATGAAAACAAGGAGGGAAGAATTTATACAGTGCTAGTACTACACTTTCAGAGGGTTATAGACAAACTAGTTTTCTATTGAAGAAAGGGCCTGTGTCATATGCTGGAAGAATTTGTAGGGAAGTTTATAATGGAGAGCAGGCAGCAAATGCCAACACAAGAAGCTCTGGCTCTGAGCAACCAGACTTGGTTTGCAAACCCAGCTGTGCCACTTAGCAGCTATATGACCTACAGCAAGCTACTAAACCATTATGAGCACAAGGCCTGACCTGTAGAAAGGGCTTATAAATGACAGTATTGATGATCTTGCCACCATTATCACCCACAGGAGACAAAGAACTCTGGCTGCAAATACTTGAAGGAATGTGGGTGAAAAAGTAGGTCAGCTCAACATGATCACAATTAACAGTGCTAGAACCAGTGCATGAAGGCTAAAGGAACCAGAATCAACTGGCCATAAAGAGGAGCTTTCTGAGTATCCAAGGTAGACTCTGTGGCTCTGGAAACACTGAGATCCTGGTTCTTCAAAGTGATCAAACCCAGGCTGCAAATCCTTCTTTGGAGTTAGGATGCAATCACCCTAGAGTGGCTAGATTATGGTTCTGAAGAAGTGAAGCTCTGACTCTGTTCCATTTTGCAAAGCTGATCATCTCTGGGTCCTTACATGCAGTGAGGACCATGTCTTACCATTCCTTGGGTAAAGGACTCAATTTAATTCAATAAGTGTCCTCCCTTCCAGGCATGGTGGCATATTCCTGTAATCCCAGTGACTCAGGAGGCTGAGGTAAGAGGATCACAAGTTCAAAGCCAGCCTCAGCAAATTAATGAGGCTCTAAGCAAATTAGCAAGTCCCTGTCTCAAAAAATAAAAATGGCTGGGGATGTGGCTCAGTGGCTAAGTGCTCCTGGGTTCAATCCCCAGTACAAAAAAAAAAAAAAGAAAGAAAGAAAAAGAAGAAAAGTGTCCTCCCTAATAGGGGTAGGATGACATCAGTAAAGTAGTCCCTATGAACTTGAGCAACCCACAGTCTGGCAGGGAACAAAAGCACTTATGTAAACTGTTGTGATAGATATCTAAAGGAGAACTAAAAATCATATGCAAATGTTAAAAGAGAACAAAGGTCTAAAGGACAAGAAAATTGTTTCAGGACACAGAGAAAGAGCTGAGAGAGAATGAGTGGTATTCAGAGAAACTTCCTTGGAGGAGCTAGCATCCAAGCTTAGTTGTGCAGGATGGGTAGGAGGAAAAGGCATACTACGTGACTGGAAGAAAACAAGAGGCCATAATGCACAGGCCTGATCTGGATAGCTTCAAGGAGTCAAGTTTACCTGGGGTGCAAGAGTTAAGAAGGGCACAAGAAGTGTGCAACAATAGTGGAAATGCAGGTTGCGGCAAATTGTGGAGGACAGTTTCTTCCTGTATGCATAAATTATCAAGGGTTTATGATCAGAAACCATCCCTTCTGCCTCCAAGATGGCCTACCTGGCTTTGATAAACTTCCGGCAAGTGTCCACGACGTGCTCCATCTGCAGGTACATAGCTGTGGCCATCACAGCCATGATGTTGCCTTCCCGAAGGTTGAGCCGAGATGTGTACATAAAGTCCAAAAGGATGCAGAACCCCTCAGGGTTGATCTCAGGATCCAGATTGATCACGCTAAGGTTGCATTTCAGCTGGTCTGTGAAGATGCTGTAGAAAAGGCCACTGGAAAACAAACAAATGTCCCACTATAGTAGACACATGGAGTCCCCATTCCTTTACAGTAGCATTAATGCTCAGATCCTCTTCCCAGAGCAGAGCTCCAGAACTCTCATGGCAATTAATAACAACTTCCACTTACGAAAGCTTACCAATGCCAGAGAGTCTGTAAGTATTTTACATACATTATCTTGTGTTCCTCATAACCCTTCTCTACCTTTATAATTTGGGGACTAAGATCAAAGAAGTTAAGTATATTCTCAAAGTCACAGAACCTGTTTTCCTTTCAGTCTTAACTGCAAGGATTACCAGGGTTAAATTTAGCACTCATTTGCAGTAACTATTCTTAGCCTATATCCTTGGGATAAGAATTTCCCCTCTTGTTTCATTGCATTACTTTTTTATAAGAGATTGTTTTATTTTTCTTTTTAGAAGTAACTTAGATATGGATGACAAATAAATACAAATATGGCTATACACTACTGTTTTTCTCAGTCCACAGATTATCAAAAAATCAATTATTTCTACAAGGTTCAAATCAAAGCTCAAGCATTTACTACAGGTGCCATGGTTTCTAGTGGAAGAAAGAATACACATTTAAAGATTAGAATTATAAGATAAGCTGTCATCTCAATTTTACTGGGTGGGGTGCTAGAAGTGAGCTAGACTTTCACCAATAATACCCATGCAATGTTTACTAAGATACTTCTCTGAACATTGGTTTCCTTACCTGCAAAGTAGAGGAAACACTAAGATCAAGGTAAGCATGAAAATGTTAAGGGTACTGAATAATGCCTGGCATGTGGTAAGCACTCATTAAGCATTAACTAATATTTTTATATCTTTGTAAATTCTGCTCCCTACACTATTTAAAAAAAAGAGAGAGAGAAGATATTGGATAAGTTCTCAAGTACCAGGAGAGATCCCTGAATCTATAAAATTTCATCTATTTTTTCCTTGCTCTTATCATTTATAAGATGGAGATATAGTGCTATCCATACAACACATACTGGAAGATCTAGGGAGATTATTTAATATAACATTGCTCTGAAAATTTGAAGCACTTGACAAATATGAGGAATTAGCTGGCTCATTCTAGCTCTTCCTCTACTCTGAATACCCATGGAAATAGGGTTTTAGAATAAAATAAAAACCGTTATAGCATAAAAGAGCAAAAGATTTTTGAATTAACTTGCTTAAACAACTTAAAGACTCTCTTCTGCTTTTCATTTGTTCACTCATCAACTGAAGTTATTCTCCCTGTTCACCCTAAACATATCCTTTCTCGTGGCAGCACATGAGTTCTTCCCCGACCATGTACAAAGAACAGGAACTCTTTTCTAAAAGTGTATTCATTCATGTGCTTTCTGGGAGTCCTCAATAGCAGGCCATGTGCTGAGATCTGGAGACAAGTAAGATGTCATCCCAGACCCCGCAAGAAGCCTTCATGTTCCACATCTCTGGCTGCCAGCACCCTCTTATTTATCCATCCTTCCCCTCCAGAACCCTTACCTGCAGGCCATGAGGACTGTCTTATGGGCTCTAAACTGTTCACGGCTCACCACAATGACAACATCAGTCAAAATGTCACGGCTCCTGAGGCGATTCAGGTTGAGAAGAACGTCACTAGCATGGCGTGTGAACTGGATACAACTGTCAGCCGGGGAGGCCATCTTGTCTTCACCTGGAAAAAAGAAGCCAATCTCCTGTTTCCTGCTTACCATGAGTACCAGAACAGGTCACTTAACCTGCTGAGGTAGGGAATGCAACTCTGGTCCCCAGGGTTTCATCTTTGAACAATTAATTGCCCACCTCTGGGTATTAGTTTTCATAGCTGATAATCTTTATCCAATAAGTTGAGATAGAAAAATCTTTAGTGAAAAGGAAATGACTATTTGTTGAACGTTTATCCCACATACCAAATTCTCTGCCAACTACTGTGAGTATGTTGTCATGGCGAGAAGCCATATTTTGAGGGTTATCACACTAGCTTTGTCTTTTGCTAGCTCTGTGACTTGGAGCAGATTGTTAACTGTCTCCAGTCTTTGGCTCTCCAAAGTGGGAATATTAATCTTAAAAATTTGGGCTAATGTACCTAGACCATAGTATGTTCTGAAAACTTACAGCTATTTTCATCAGTATCTCATTACATTATTCCATTCTCTCCTCTCTTAGGCTTTGGAGTACTAGCACATTTCTGGGGCATAGTAAGTGGCTAAGTTAGTTTGAAGTAGAAAAGAGAGGGAATGACTGACCCATGCAACAGTGTAAAGACAGTGCCGTGGTAAGGGCTGAGAGTAATACGGGCAAATTGGTTACCCTTTGCCTCATCAAAAGAAGGTGGCAAAGTTCACAGAATAGCTGCATTGGCAAAATTAAAAAGAAGCACTTTGTCCACAAAATTTTAAAGCACATAATTTGATTTACTTACCCAATGCCTTGCTTCACAGTCCAAAATTTTGCTTAAAAACTGCAAAGAAGAGAAGAGAGCAAACAGAAATTGATTTAATGAATGTAAGGTTGTCCACTATAGTCTTATTTTAGGACACATGTAGTTAGTTTTGCTTTGGTAGTTGCAGCCTGCCAGCTGGTGTGGTTTTACCACAAGCTAGCAAACATATTCCACTTCTGCTCTTACAGAAACAACAGGCACCCAGAGCTATGCAATAATAATGCCTGTACCCTGAGTACTAGGAAAACAATCGTATACATTAATTACATATAAATGTACGCGTATATTTCCTGGCTCGAAGTAAAAAATTTATACCATCTAAAGGTCACTTGGATTTCTGGGAAAGAAAAATAAGAAAAGTAGTTCTTTTAATATTAATGATGATGATCCTTCAGGGGCTGGAAACACTGGACATTATTCAAACCCTGCTAAAATATTATCTTTCAAGTCTTAAAATGATTCCACCAGCCTGATAGGGTCAATATCTTTATCCCTATTTCACTAGTGGTGAAACTGAGACTCGGCTTCAAGTGTCTTGCTCAAGACAAACATCCAGGCAGTATTTCCTGATTCTCTGGAACATTTAAGACTGAATACAAAGTCTATAGAATACAACCTGAGGTGACATGTCTATGCATTCCTTGAGTATCTTTGCCTTCTTTTTCAGCTTCCTCTCTCTTGCCTCCCTGATTAAAGACCAGACAGTGTGGCATAGCTTCCAAGTTTGTGCTTCTCTCTGCTAGTGAAAGATTTAACTGTGGTGTGGCTGAGAACTGGCCAGGGAGCACAAAACCTTAAAGAGATTTAATGAAATATGTACTCTCTCCAAACCAGTTTCTCTCAAACAAAATCATTAAAAGAATAGGTGTAAGACTCTCATTTACCCTCAAATGTGAGCTGCAAAACAAAGCAATATTTCCCCCCTTTAAAAGGTATAGTCCTTTAGAGTTATTTTCCAGGTTAAGGGGCCTGAGGCCAATGAGGTCATGTTGGGCCATGCAGATGGCTGATGGCCTGGCCCTAGGTCTTCTGGCTCAAATTCCTATTCCCTTTCCAAATCAGCCTACGTGCTGTAGAACATGCAAGACAGCACCCTGAGGTGGGTGAATCTCATTTTAAGTTCCTTCCCCCACACAAACACTTTGCCCCATTCCAGGCTGCTGAGTCTTACCAAATAATCCCTCTAAAATGAGAGGTTTCCTTGAGTCTGTAACCAAACACTCTGACATTTCTCTGTGGTCCCAAGTGCCAATCACTCAATCTCATTGCTTCAAGGTTAGTGTGTGCATGTGAGTATGTGAGGAGTGAGGGAAGGAACTAGGGACAGGGAGAGAACAGAAAAAGACAAAAGAACCTGATTTCCTCCTTTCCCTATTCCAACTAAAGATGGGTAAAATTTGGTCCTAACCGGGGTTCAAGGATTGTGTCCTTTGAAAAAGAATGCTGAGGACACTTAAAGTTTATTTATAAACTTTCTCCTCTTCCCTCGTGGAAGAGATCCTCAAACACTTCTAGAATACCCAGGCTGTGCTTTAACCAGCCCAACCACCAGTTCACTTGTGGATTTCCAGTCCCAGACTTCTGGAACCACAGGAAGCCCAGATTTGCCATTTCACCAGGACAAGTGGCCATGACTCACTCCAGATTCAGATTGAAACAAACAAAACAGTTCCCCGGCCAGTGTCAGCCAAGCCTTGGGCTTTTCACCTTAAGCTATGCCTGATCTAGACAAAAACAAAGCACATGTCCCCTTCAAGTTCACTTCTTTGGGAGCTAACTTTGTCTTAAAAGATCCCACAACTAAGGAGGTGTGGGTTAAGGAGGATGTGTACAACACTGCTCTCCCTCTGGACGCTGCACACGTGGAAGTATCACCGATATTAGTTTTTTTGTTTTTTTTTTTAAAAGACTTGGTCCTTTCCCATCCATTATTTTATCTTATAACAGCACTGACATATTGTGGAAGACATTATCGCTCCCCACCACCCAGCCAGGTATGAACTTTGCCTAGGATCTCAAAGCCAACGTCTAACGAAGTCCTGGACAAACCTCCTCTACTAGTTCCAGCCATACTAAGGCCACCCACAAGATTCAATCCACAAAAAAACAACCAATATCAGGATCATCAAAGAGAAACTTAACAACTGCAGCGGCCCATACCTGGATCGCCAACACCCAAACTCCCCACCCAATCCAGGCTGCAGTAACCACCAAGGAAGATCTAAACGTTGTTTAATTCACCCCCACACCTTTTGCCCACTTTGCTGCTTTCCTTGTGTATATTCACTTTGGCATCTTGAGAAGGCAGATTCTCTAAAGGAGTTTCCCATGAGAGAAAAAAATGGGGTGAGGAGTGGAGAGAAGGCAGCAGAAAGGAGAGGGTGAGAGACCGGAGAGGAGCGGAGCGACAAGCAAGAGGCAAGATGCGGTTAAGAGAGAGCAAATGAGCCAATACGAAAGACCCCATCCTTTTCCTGCCTGCTCCACTGGGCTGGCACCAGACAGCCCCATTTGCTCGCTCAAGCACACCAGCACAAACAGGAGTCCTGCGCGCCGGGGCAAGCCTGCGCAGATTCGCCCACCCCCATCACACCGTACCTGTCTTCCAGGGACCGCCCAGCCCCAGGCGATACGCTGGCACCGCTGCCCATCCGCCTCAAACCCCGAAGGCGCGGCGGAGGCCGGATGGTATGACTGCGGCGGCCCTTAATTTCGTTACATTCAAATAAGTTTTCGGTAGCTAACATTGTGTATGCCTTTTTTTTTTTTTTCCTGTTACTCCGCCAAGGCAGGGGGCAGTGAGGGGAATGGCACAGCCCTCTCATTCCCGGAACGTAGTCGATCTCAGCTCTGCGGATTTCACAGAACACTCTCTCCCTATCGCCGTCTCCAATGAGAAGTAACTTTCCAGGAAGCTGCTGGCCCCCGACGGCCAGCAGGATCGCTGCCTGCACAGAGCGGACTGCGGAGGATTCACCCGGAGGGGGTGCCGCAGGGGAAGGCTCGCGGGGAATAGGGCACACTTTCCCCTAATTCCCTTTCCGGCGCGGGTTCCAGGGCTCTGAGTGCACCTAGCCCAACCCTTCCCCCACAATTTAAAAATGGGGAAAGTCGACACGTTAGTAGCAGTATAAACCAGGAGTTTGGATCCAATCAGAGGCTCAGGAGTTTGGATCCAATCATGCCTTTGGGTTGCTCAATTCTGGCCTTTGCCTGGTAGGTCGTTGGGTACACACCCCCCTTTTTTTTTTTTTTTTTTTTGCTTGCTTCCCTCTTACGCTCTGTTAAAGGGGATGGTTAGATGAGATATCAAGGTAAAAAAGATTTTGAGTCCCTAGAGCTGACAGTCTCTCTGCAGTCTGTCCGACCCAGCCGAGTTGGAGGAAAGCTAAACCGAAAGCCTATGCCGCCTACGTTAGCAAGAAAGGGAACCCAGCTCGGCTCGGTTTCCGCTCAGTCTATAGAACAGGAGCCACCAGGCTTAACCTAGCCAGGTTTCGGGATTTCGGAATCCTATTTCCTTGAAACTGTAGAGACGGGTTAGGATTCTGCAGAGGCCCGGGCGCAGACGCCAGCGCGCGCACTGGCGCGCTCCAAAGTTGCCTCGCCTTCGCAGGAATTAAAATCCCAGGGCTCCATCTCCTAATTGGTCTCGGTAGCCGGCTTCAGAAGGGGCTTTCAGGACAGTAGTAGAGGACGCTAAAGTCAGCTTTAGAGGCCTCAGTCCAGATCTAAAACTAGCTAGTGTCGTCACACGCCGCCGCCGCAAAAATCTTTCTGCGGCGGAGGCGGGGTCAGGGTCGGTCCTCAAAGACAGGGCCTTTTTGACATTAAACTCCTACTTTATGACTTTCTCTCCCTTATGCCGGGTAGGATAAAGGTGATGTAGAAGGCTGGGATTTGTGGGATAAGGGTGAGGATATGGGGAGTAAAATTAAGTAAATGTACTTATTGGAAATTAGGAGTCGCGTGGTTCCGGGAGCTCAAACCTAATCATGTTTTTACCGCTGCCTAACACTAGAGAGAGCTCTCCATCAAGGTTTGAAACCGACAAGCCCCTTCTCGCCCCGCCCCTCCTTCCCATTGACCTAGTTTGGCCAGAGAGATTTGGAAAACGCCTTCATCCCTTCCCCCTGCTCTCTATTCGGGCCGGCGGTTGGATTATTGGTAATCTAATAACTCCAATAATTCGCTGAAAACTCCATAGGGGAATTTGAAAGTGCAAAGCACTGTTTAGGGACAGGGACAAGGAATTTTAATAAATCTGGAGCTGTCTCAGTGAAACTCCCACCAGGGCCCCTGCTGGAACGCTCCCTTTCGCAGCGGCGTCCATCTAAAGAGCTGTTGTTCAGGTCTTGTCACCCTGGTCTAGAATTAGGTGTTAGGGTCAAAACGTGGTATCTTCCCCGCTACCGCCCCCCCCCCACACGGGTGGGGCACTCTTCGTGCTCTTGGAGGGGGTTGGAGGCGCAGGAGCGGGAGGGTGGAGGAGGTGACAGTAGATAAAAGCAAGTTTGATAGCATAGTGGCCTCTGCAGCTGCTTTGGGTATCCAAGGTGTTCGGGGACATTATGTCCTTTCATTTCTATCACGTTTCCTGCCAACAGCGTTCTTGCAAGCCTGCAAGCTTCTAGGAAATGCAATAAAATAGAGGGATGTGTTTTATCATCAAGATCTAAAGAAGAGCTGCTGAAGGGACGCTTCCAAAGCGCCCAGCTGCAGACAGCCTTCCAGAAGGCCCCACAGACAATGCCAGCAAACACGTCCAGGGGCAGAGATGTCCCAGCCATCCTGGCGGGACTGGGCTCAGCCTTTGCATAGAGGCTGGCGGGGGAGGAGAGAGGCATGATCTCCCCAAGTAAACAATGCCTTTTAAAATTTGATCTGGACAAAAGTCAGCCAAGGTCTTTATTCACGTTAATGAAGATGGAAGGCACTAACTGTCCTTGGAAAGCGATGAGTCAAACTTGACCGCCCTTCAAACACGTCCCCAGATTGGTTTCCAACCCGAACAGAGGCGCGTTTCTCTGACACAGCCTCCGACCGCTCCCACAGTGGGAAAGGCTGAAGTTGATTCAGGCGGGCCTGGGCTGGGGAGACCGCTGCGCCTCACCCCGGCAGCCGCTAGAGGCCGCCAGCACGCGAATGCGGACGGGCCATTTTAAGAGCTTTGAGAAAACTTTACTGAAGAGATGTTGGGGCACAAATTCTAGGATTATGCTTTGTTTATCTATGACCCCTCCTCATACATGTGCACACACTTGAAATTTATCGACAGGATGCTTTGCAAAGGATATAAGGATTGGAAAAAGGGATTTCTGGGTCCAGATGTGAGCCTCGAGAGCCACCTCTGCAACTCTGCAGACTAGACCTTGGCCACTCCTGCCCCAGGCCATGAATTACTACCACCACCCCCAGCTTTAAAACAGCGGGCTCTTCGGCACTACTGCAGGCCTTTTTATATCTGTTTTTGAAAACCTTAGGCTATGCTTTATAAATAAATTTCCCCAGGACTTCTGGGAAACGTTTCCAATGTGTGCTGTCTGCTAGGGTGACCCAAGAAGTTAGTCATGGTTCTGACAGCTGTTCCTGTCCTTCAGGTACTTTAAAGGAGCTGAGATAAATTCGTCTTTGACTTTAAGTTAAGCTCTGAGATTCAGAAGCTTCCAATCTGGTCCTAGTTCTAGTTTGGTCACTAACTATACTAACATGTCCCTTGTCAAGCCTGTTTTCTCAACTGCCAATAAATAAATAAGAAAAAAAAAAGAATTAAGCCCTAAATCTCCTGAACTTTGCCATGCCATCTTTCTAATACCGACTTTTCCCCCAGGGAAGGGGCCATAGCCACAGGTAGATGATGTCCTCAAAGAGTTATTGTTTCTCTTAGTTGAGATAGAAGCTGATCGCTGAGCGACTATGGACAGAAAGAGCAGCCAGGGCATTTCCAATGTTTTGTCTTCTCAAAAGTCAGGAGGTTGGATGCTATCCTCATTGGAGACTGCCCTCCCGGTCATTCCTAGTATCTAGTCAGGATACTGGGAGACCCAAAGATAAACCGGTCAGCCCCCAGCCCAAGGCGGGGGACCTTGACCACCATCTACCACTAGGTGGCAGACTCAGTCCATCCGAGAATCTCCGTGCTGTACAGCCTTCCACGCCCGAAACTCCGACTCCTTTTTATCCTTGTCTGTTAGGGCTGGGGGTGTGGTTATTTCCAAAAACAAAACTGGAAAAACATTTAATTTACTGGTGTAATTCCATTCTTCTCGATGCTCACGCCTCTAGCAATCACAATGCGTTATCTGGATCGGCTTTCGTGTACTATACGTTGATCCCCCTCGCCCCCCCCCCAAAAAACTGAATTACTAAGAAGGGAAAGAAAGGGTGCTCTCATCTTCAAAAAGCAGAATGGCTCTTGCCACACACGGTCGGCCAGCAAAGTGAGTCGAGAATAAACTCATTCATGATCCTCACGGAGGAAAGGGGCTCTGGAGACCAAAGACCAGGGTCAACCAGACTTACTGCTCCTGGCTAAACAGGAAGGGGGGGGGCGAATATGGTCTTTTGGAAGGGCTGTGGTCTCGGAGTGGGAGGCGGGGAGGGTTGGAAGGAGCGGTTCTTGGCTTCCACTGGGGCGAAGAGAAACCAGTCAGCTCCGCCACTACGCTCAGACCGCTGCGGTGGCGTTCCCACTTGTTGCGCAGTGCAGGAAACCGGCACGCGCCACACTACTCTGACTCGCAGGAGGCTGCTAACCAGCCTACCATTGCTGCATAGAATCCACAAACCTCTCCCCACCACCATCACCACCACACACCCCATAAACCACCGGTCAAACTACAGCTCTTTCAGCCACCTCGATATTTTACACCAAAAACATCCCCCCTTGTGTCAAAGTCAGACAGGCAGCAAAATTCAGGTCCCCTGAGAAGTCAAGTTCAAAGGCAAAAGGGAGCTACCTCCACCCGGGGAACTAGCCTACTTAAGTCCAACCAGGCACACACACAACCATGCTGCGCCTCTCCCCCCCTCCCTACACCCCCCCCCCCCCCCACCAGAATTCTTCCCCTGAATTATTTGAATTACGTTTCTCTTTTTATGCCACCATCCTAGCTGGAAAGCAAGGTCGTTCTTCTCTATTGACGAGGTCAACTGCAAAGTGCTTCCTTTAAAAGTTAGTTTTTATCTGCGCTAATTTTTTAAATCTCTCTGGGAGGGGGACGCCTCATTGTCATTTCACAATATTTTAAAAAATGTTTGACTTTTGCCATAGTTTTACCCACCGAGGGGTGGCGCTGCCGCACCACCTCCTCTGAAACAAGTTTTTCACAACAAAGTGGGTTTTGAGAGTGGCTACCAGGCAGGGGATAGAGGGAAGGAAGGATTTTGACATCTATCTAGTCATGGCTACCATTTACTCAACCCATGACTGGAACTCTTCAAGAGCTCAGCAATTGACAGCTCAAGAGTTGAGTTCCATTCCTGTCCACTACAAACAGAATAACAGTCTCTTAAAGAAAGCATCATCGGAGTAAAACCCCTCAAAACTGAGGACAGGAAAATCGCAAATGGAGAATTCCCACTTTTATGGCTTGTCTCCTCCTTCAAGTCACCTAGTTTTTATGAACAGCATATAGCCTTATTGTCACTATCAACAGACCCTTAAAATCAACCAATGTTCCAGCATGCAGTATTGGAAATGCTTCCAAATAGGATACTGGAAATTTCTATTTATAAACTTGGGGGGGTGGGTATTTCCTATCTACAGGTTTCTATTTTGGCCTGAAGACTCAATTGCAGTCATTTTAGCAAGATTATGTCCATCTCCTGGTGCTTTCTGTTCATTTCATTTCTGTTCATTTCTGACCCCAGACACAAATATCTTTTCTTCTTCTTAAAAAAAAAGTATATATTTTCAAGCAAGTATATATTTCACCTTACTCCTTTGAGCTCATGTTTGCTACCTCCAGGAATAGTGTGTGGACTAGGGCCAGATGAACTTCAACTTGGGCTGCAGATTTACGAGTTTCTGTTCCAGTGCCAAAGGCTCTTGGTAGTAAATACTGAGCAAAATAGATACCTGTCTCCTGATGAATCTTGCCGGCCCTTCTTTTATTTTTTAAAGTTATTTATTTAAAACATACACACACACACACACACACACACACACACACACACACACACCTTGCAAAAAAAAAAAAAAGGGAAACTGGCAGTCTCTGTAAAGGAAGCTAGTGGCATCGCTCAGAGCCACAAACTGTATTTCTAAACAACCCTTTCCCTGGTTCCCTCTCTCCTGCCCCACTTTTTTTCTTCTTTCTTTTTCTTTTTTCTTTTTGTTTTTCTGAACAGTAAAAATTGCATCTACAGACAGTCATTTTACTTTTTTAAAAAAAAGTGTTTAAATTTTTCCTCCTGGAAACTATAAAGTGATTGAGAAAAAAAAAAACTTCATAAAAGATTAAATCACTTTCCTAGGGGGATGATTGGCTGTCTGAAGCAGTCAGGGACCCTGTAACAACTCTGGACTTTCAGCAACCGGTTTAAGGTCATTTCCTCAGCTTAACTGTCAGGACCTCCACCATCCCCACCACGCAGATATAAGTGGGCACCACACTGAGGGTCTCCCCCCGCCCCGATTCTTTTAGAAAATCTGTTGGGTTGTGCTCTTGCTTTTCATGGGGGAGTTTTAAAACTCATTGCAACATTAGTTCCATTTTTCTCCAGGGTTCCAATAGCACAGTATCATAAAAGCAACGCAACCCACAGTTCTCAAGACATTTACCACTGTCACTACATCCGGCAGCGGGGTGGCCCCTTGCTCCTGCTGCACCCCAGTGCAGCCGGTTTCCGAAGCTCCAACTCCCTACCCACTCGCGCCCCAGGCCGCCGTCGCCGCCGCTTCCCCCACTCCTACTCCCTCGAGAAGAGCCACAGGTTGCAGATCCAACCAACCTCGCAATCTATTTTTGCAAAATCACTCACAAAGGTCTCCCTTTTGCGCCCGCTCCTCCCGCCGGGTCCCCCAGCCATAACCACAAAGTGCCCTTCTCTCCTCCCGGGTCTTGCACGTAGGGAACGCGGGCTGGAGCTCTGTTTGTCTTTCCCTCGCCCAGTGTAAGGACCTTAGGAATCTGAAGTCTGGCGTCCGCTCTACTCAGGCCCACAACTGCCTTTTTACGGAACGTGCAACATGGGGAAAATGAATATAAAATTTAGGAAAGGGAGGGAACAACCATTGAGAGCCAACACAGAGTCACGCAGCGCCCAAAATACAAACATCGCGGCCGCCAGAAATCCCGCCACCTTCTCGCTCTCCTGGGCTGTCCTGTCAAGGTTCCCTGTGTCCCCGCACACCGAAAGGCGTCGCAGGTGCAAACACGCACCCCTTTCCTACCCACCCCCAACATCCCTGTCCGGCCGTCAGCCTCTCTTCTCGGGATGGGCAAAGGAAGCGCGCAGTGGGTTCCCGACTCCCTTGACTACAACCAAGAAAGATTAATTTTCAAAGTATTCAATACCCCCCCCCAAGCTAAACCTCCCAAAACACAGGGGAAGGGGACACCAAAACATTCGTCTCTCCTTAGGAAGATCACGGCTCTGAAAGGAAGTAGTAGACACGATACTTCATCTGGGTTTATGACCAAAAAAAAAAAAGAGTGGGGAAAAAAAAAACACCCGAGGAGTTCGCTTGTATTTTTCCTCCCAAATCTCGGCTCGGTTGGAAGGCAGGGAATCTTAAGGACTGAGGCCGGTGGAAGGGAGCCAGCGGGGCGAGCAAGCGGGCAGCCTCCCTCCTCGCCTCCCGGAGTTACCCAGAAGGACGGGAGAAGAGAGGCGAGGGAAAGGAGGAGGGAGGGAGGGAAAGGGAGGCAGGAACGCAGGAGCAAGGAAGGCAGTTTGCAAGCCAGAAAAGAGGGAAAAAACACAGCCGCACGAATCCAGCGAGATCACAAGCCGTACGCAAGCAGCAGCCTTTAGAAAGAGCGAGAGCGCGAGCGCGCGTCCTTTCCGCCGTCTGAGGCCAGACAGCCCCCAGACTTGCCCGAATCACCCCCTAAACACTGTCTCGTCCTCTCTGCTCCGGCCACCCCCAAATTCCCCTCCTTCTCTCCTCCAACCTCCTTTTCAAAAACCAAAACAACATCAGGGAGGGTGGCAAAAGCCTCCCCAAACCGGCCGATTCCCTCAAAGACAACAAAATAATAATAATAATTATATATAAATCTATATCCTAGAGTGGGAGAGACGTGGGACTAATATTCGGCATTTATTTTAACACCTGACAGCTAGAATAAATAAATATATACATTTATATCAATAGATACACATAGGAAACTTGGAGCCAAAGCATTTGGCAAAAGCGGAAAAAAAAAGAATTAAAAGGTAAAATAATGATCATGAGCAGCGGCGGCGGCAGCGGCACCAGCGGCAACGGCGGCGGCAACAGCAATAATCACCTGGTGTCCGGCCTTTCCTAGAAACTTCTTGCATCACCACTTCTAAGAACCCCAGTTCTAAGAATCAACAGAGCTCAATTCTCGGAATTTGAGCTGCGGACTTTACCACTGCTACGTGGCAGGGGAGGACCCGGTGTCAGTTCTCAGGGTTTTTTACCTCCTCTGCCCCATAAAATTCCCTCAAAGTCACAATATTTTCCCACTTTCCGGCATATTTTGAAGTTCTTACAGGATAACCGTCTTGGTTATGAATGTTCCGCTTCGAGGCTCGAGTGGACAGAAGGCAGTCCTCCCTCCCGGGCCTCTGCATGATGGTACGGCCTGCTCCGCCGCTGTCACGTGGGCGCCTCCTGTGTGACGTCGGCGTCTTCGCTGTAGCAAAGCTCGGCCTCTGGAATTCTGAGAACTAATTTGCTATTCGGTGACATAAGAGGGGGAGTGCGCTTTGCTTTCCCGGGGTCTGGGCTAATTCTTCCTCTCTTACCATAAACTCAGCTCCTCGAGCTAAATGCATAAAAGGGAGCGAGAGATTTGAACCACTAGAACAAGTATGTTATATATAGTAGGTTTAGAGAGACGAGTAAGAGGAAAAAAACAATAAACACCACAGCTCTCTCCAGCTAATATATTAGGCACCACGAGAAAAATATTTGCCAAGCAGTGTTCGGTGGGTTCATTTGCTTTATTTTTAATTTGGGACTGGGGTGGAGGGTGTTTTTGAGCTTTTTCTTTTTGGTGTGATGGCTTGGGATTTCTGGTTGTTGTATTTTGATGATTTTCAGATTTTTGCCTCTGATTTTTGCCTTTTGCAAGTTTGTGGTGTTACGTAAAGCTTAGGATCCGTCATCGGTTGATTCTTGTTTTGTGTGCGTTCTTTCTCTCCCTATCTAATCGCTCAAGCATTTTAAAGAAGATGTATTATTTCAATACTGATACTATTGAAAGACGCTTACATTTTCAATCATATGTGACAATCCCAACCCCCATTTTCCCCCCTTTAGTGCAATTTTCTTTTCCCCTTGGACTTTTACTGAAGAGAGGCTGTCCTGCACTGGAGAGAAATGCTCCAAGAATTTGTTTTGTTTTGGTTTGTTTCTTTCCAGGATAGCAAGTGGTGGGTTTACTCTGTTATTGTTGACTCTTAGGGAATTTCTTGTTGCAAGAAACGTGTGTATTTGGGTATGTGTACGTGTGTGTTCTGCAAAATTCTGTGAGCCAAATACATGTTTGTGTTTTGATTTTCCTTTTTGGGTTAATTCTTTGATTTCTTTCTT